TCTCATCATTGTAGCAATCAAATGGCTTCCTAATGTACTTCCCCAACACTGAATGTTGGTATTTCCCTGAATTGCTGAAACTTAGTCTTCCCCCAGTGGAAGTCCCACAATAAATATTAGTTTTGACCAAATGATGGCATAGAGGATGACATTCGTCATATTAGAAGATGGCAGAAAGCCTTTCTCAATCCTTATCACAATGTAATATTTATGCGACATTAAGCCAAACACAAGAAAGAGAATTAATATTTTAAGAGGAAATTTTGTGAAATAGATCACTTGTAAATTTACAAGGATCATGAACAGATAGTGTGTGGGCTCTGACAGTTTCTAACTTGTGGATCCTGCTCTGGAGTTATATGTGTTTTCCCTTCTGTTTAATCTTTAGATATAAAATGAAGTATTACAGTGCTTTCTTGGTGTACTTACATTTCCTTTGAAAAGTAAGTCTTGATTGTTTAAGGCTGTATTAAAATAAAGTAATACGATACCTAGGCTTGGTGGTTCATGACTGTTATCTGGTATTTGGAAGGTAGAGGCAGAAGGATCTGGGATCCAGAATAGCCTAGGCTACAAAAAGAAACCCTGTCTTAAAAAATAAAATTGAAAGAAAAGAAAATGACAGGACAATGCATTAAGAAGAAGTTACACATTTCTAGGCAGTGTTTTTTTCCCCTATGTGTAATTACATGTATTGAAATGTCAGCATATAGTTAATAAATTAAAAAGAGAAAATGAAATATTCCCTGACTTCTAATGCATTTGAGGTTTTCCCCCTGAAAGATTTTATTTTATTTTTAGTTTAATTCTACCACATAGGATTAAGGAAAAAGAAAAGCTTCTGATAGGGTTAATCCAGCTACATAAAAGTCCGTGCTGGGAAGATCATAATCTTGATCTTTGATTAGATCAGAAATAGTCGTATCTTGTGATTAATCAGAATGGATTGCATGTAGGATAAGCCATCTCACAGATGGATTAGAAGAGCAATGTTTTGTAAATATTTGTTTTAATCTTTTCTAGTATAAAAACGGCTTGTGTTTTTTAGTGTTTTACTTTAAGTCAGATTAAGTTCACCAAAAAAAAGTGACAAAGAAGAAATTGTGAAGTACAAGTTTTTTGGGATCACTTACTAAAATGAAGCTTGTTTTTTAATTCATAGTACTTCAGGAAATGTTTCATTTGTTTTAAAAAGTCACATTATTAGGGGTGGACTGGGAGGGAGGGGTGAGAATTTTGAAAGGGATGACACTGATAAAGACACATTGCATTCATAAACTGCTTTGTTTAATGGAAACTCATTTGTATAATTAAAGATAACAAAGTATTTTAAAAAGTCATATTAGTTGTGAAATTTAATCAGCTATCTTATTCATATGTGCTTCACTAGAAATTTTTTTAAAGAATATATCAAAAGTAATGTGAAGGTCTGTCTCATTCTTTCTCTCCTTAATTGTCTCACTATTATTCTCTCTCCTTCTATTCTTTCTTCCTCCCTCCCTCCTGGCTTCCTTGCCTCCTTCACTCTCTGTGCTGGGGATTTAATCCAGAATTTCATGCAAGTCTAGTTAAAGACTTACTCTACCACTCTCTCTACCTCCAATTCAGTATTGAGGTTTTCATTTCTCTGGATAGAATAAGATATTTCTTAAGGTCGATAGTTCTTCTTTTGAATATGAAATTCCAGACTAATTAATATCTGATAACAAAGAGCCTTACTAAACCATCTGACACCTAACACCCAGAGCACAGCAAGAGCTCAAAGATTCACACAGGGCACAGTGTTTGTGAATGTGTCTGTCAGTTCAGGCAAGGAGCTGCTTTGATAGAAGTTGGGCTTTTTTGGTTTTGGTTTTGTTTTTCTTACCAGATTCAAGGATTGACTAACAAACGATCCCAAAATGTACAAAGCATAACTTAGGGGTGTACACCTTGCCCCTAACAAGTTTCGTGACAGTAGACAAATTCATTGACATCTCAGAGATCTCTTGCCTAAAAAAATGAGAGATTGCAGTAGAGTCCTCAAGATACCATCTAGTTTGAAAAAGTACATAATAATTTTTAATATAACTTGTCACGAAAAACCCTTTTGATTTTGTGTATTGAACTCACTTTAGTAGAAGTTCAAAAACTTCCAACCCCACAGTGCATTCCTCCAGCTAGATTACTTCAGGTTCTTTTCATTGGTTGAGTGGACACCAAGGCGTTATAGGAAGAAGCATTTGAACAGAAGCTTGAGTGACTATGGGGGTAAGAATCACTATGATCTGGTTATGTGTTATCTGCCTATATTATATGACGAGAAAATGAAGAAGCCACATTTTGAGAGGTCAAATCTTGGAGTCTTTATTAAAAGGCCACTGACTGCATAGACTCTTGTCTCAAGGATAGCAGCCAGCAAGTACACTTCGTGTTGTTAGGAAACTGAGCCATGAAAGCTAGAGAGGAAAGAAAGAACAAAAATGATACCAACAAATCAATTCAGCTCCAATGGAGAGCTGAACTGGAATGCCATGGTGACCAGAGAAGACAGAGGAGACAGAAGACAGGAGACAGGACACAAACACAAAGACATGTGTCATGGCATTATGGTGTCCGAGCTGGTCTGGGTCTAAATAGGGTCAGATCAGGGGCAGAGTCTCAGAACTCCCAATCACAGGTACTGGAGTAACAGGGTCAGTAACCTATCAGCCAAGTCTCTGCCCCTTCCTCCAGGGATTCAGCTACTTCCCATCACCTGGGAGGGGAGTATTCACCTTCTCCCACCATGAAGGCAAGACGCCAGACCTTATATGAAGATACTCAAGTACCAGCAGAACTTTCCAGCTAGGGAGGCTAGTATACCCTTCCATATAGGGGTATACTTAAAGGCTACTCAGAGGCTGGTGATTCAATCCATTTAAGGAGTTACTTAAGGCAGAATCAGAACATTTTCTATGCAATGCTTTCCTAAAGCTATGGTATCTGCATTTCTCTGAAGCAGAGCACTCCTTGCTCACCTTGAGCTGGGCATCTGCATTCAATGAATGGCCTCTTACCTCTAGACTTTTTAGCACTGAGTTCAAAATTCCCTCCACCCAGCAGTAGGCAGCAGGAGATTGCTTAGACTCAGCCTCCTTACTTCACCATGTATTATGCCTGCCATTTTTTAATCCCTATTTACCTACCGTTCCCCTTTCTTTTTCATTTTCAAATGTCTGATGAAAATCTTAACCACCATTCGGGAACAGGGCCTGTGACTGTTCCACACTAACTCCTGCTGAGAGTATGGCAGTCTGGGATCCTCCGGGGTCTTTTAGGAAGATAGGATCACTGTAAAATTCCAGAGGACAGTTTCTACAGGCTCCATTTCTTTGACCATTTGCAGCTTGATGAACTCCAATCTAGAAGAAACTAACTTAACAAGCAGATAGAGAATACAGGGACCAACAGAAATATTTTACTAGATGGGATCCCAGGAAAGGAAGCAATAAAGACACCAGGACTTAGAGCTTTAATGTAAAACAATATGATTGAAAAAATTATTTTATTTGTGGAAAGACCTAAATGCTTATGGATAGGTTAGAGTTTAAATCAGACTAATTTTTTTCTCTTGTTTTTAATTTTTTTATTTTTTTTGTTTTTGTCGGTCAAGGGGCCTGAACTCTGGTCCTGAGCACTGTCCCTCACCTCTTCAGCTCAAGGCTAGCACCCTACCACTTGAGCCACCAGTTCTAGCTTTTTCTGCTTATGTGGTGCTGAGGAATCGAACCCAAGGCCTCATGCCTCTACCACTGAGCCACCTTCCCAGCCCCAACAGACATAATTGTTTTTACTGGGTTTGCATATACAGATATATTTGTGCTAGTTTCACCACATCTTAGATCAGGCGTAGCATTATAGCACCTTGTCCAGCACCTAGTAGGCAACCAAAAATGTTAGTCCAAACTAACTTTGGAACTTACTGATTAAACATATTAGTGACATTTATAAAATGATTTTCAAACATCCCAAAATCAGGTAGATAACATTTCTCTTCATGAATACTTTGTTTTTTTAATCTTTATGTCATTGAACAAAGATGTTGCAACTTGATCAATGTAGATAACCTATTTTTAATTAGCATTAAACCAAACTGACAGTGTCATAGAACACATCATATTAGGCGCTTACTCTTAGTCTTTGTTAGAGTAAATTAGACTTTGCCAGAAAGCCACACAGACATCCAGGTGCAAAGAACAAAGTAAAGTTTCACTGCCAGTAGAGGGACCAGCATGACCCCCTTCTCACAAGAGAGGAGTGCCTCGGTGACTTTTATAACCTCTGATTTGGGGGATTTTGCTGCCTTATATGGTTATAGTTGCCCCAAAGGATGCCCTCTTAGGTGACCCATATGACCTGTGAGGTTTAGGGGATCTTGCTGCTTTATATCGTTATAGCTATTCCAAAGGAGTGCCATCTCAGATTAGGGGGTCGAGGCTAATCATTTGCCACATATACTAAAATGGCTTAAGGTTGCTCAGGGAAAAAGCATGATAAGCTATGAGAGAGGAGGCTATTGGGCTAACAGTCTTAGCCACCTCAGGTCTATAGGCACCTATGGTTATTCTGATGGAAAATTGAATGTGAAGTAAGAGGTTGTAGCTGGTGGTTTATGTCTATAATCCTAGCTACTCAGAAGGCTGAGATCTGAGGATTGCAGTTTGAAGACACCCTGGGAAGAAAAGAACATGAGACTCTTATCCCCAGTTAACCACCAAAAGGCCAGAAGTGGAGCTGTGTCTCAAGTGGTAGAGTATGAGGCTTAGTGAAAAAGCTAATCAGGAGCCAGAGGCCTTGAGTTTAAGTCTAGTATGAAGGAGGGAAGGAGGGAAGGAGGGAAGTTTATGATTATATAAAAACAACTGAAAAAAGTAGAAATGATGCAATTGACTTAATGGACTGAATCAGCTCTAGATGTATTAAAATAATAATGGTTTATTTTTTTATTTTACTTTCTTTTCTTTCCTTTTTTTAACTAGGCAACCTGGAGATCCTCCATTAATAAAAGGCTGGCTTCCTTATTTGGGAGTGAGTCTAAAATTCCAGAAAGATCCCATAGGATTCCTGAAAACTCTTCAAAAGCAATATGGTGATATTTTCACTCTTCTCATTGCAGGTACTTAAATACATATTTAAGTACAGTTGTTCTTTAATGTCTATTCTCTTCAGACAAAATGTGTAATTTTTAATAACATTGTTGTATCTGTAGAGCTAATACAAAATACTGCCATGATTTTTATTACAGTGATTGTCATGTTAAAATGCAATTCTGGAATCTTCTTTTTTATTTTATTTTATTTTGACTATTTTTAATTTAAATTTTATTGTACAGGTGATGTACAGAGGGGTTACAGTTATATAAATAAGGTGATGAGTGCATTTCTTTTTGAACAGTATTATCCTCTCCCTCATTTTCTCCCACTTTCCCCCCTTCTTAGGCCTCCCCCAAGTTGCATAGTTCATTTTCAACATAGTATCTAATGAGTATCACTGTTGAATTGGTTCATTCTTTGGCCCACCATTTCTGTGGTTCCCCTTCCCTTCCTCAAATCAGATAAACCTATATACAAGACAAAGGGTACTGAAATCAAATCAGTGACACCAGGGAATAAACTAAAGGAGAAAAAAGAAAAAAAAGAAATAACTGCAAACAGTACAATACAAAAAAACCCTCTTGTTTCAGTTTCTTAGAGTTCATTTCAAAAAGCGTCATTTTATATGGTCATAAGCAGGTAGCTATTGAGCCATTGTGAACCTCCCAAAAGAATAATCTCCTTTGTTTTTAGTGTGCAAATGCTTAGAGTGCTGTGTAATTGATCATGCCCAAATGTAGTTATTTGTCTTTTACTACCCATTGGGTTAACCTGTAGACATATTCAACTTATTATAAATGAGGGAATACATGCAGCGTGTATTTTTTGTTAATATAATTTTCTCCAAGTCTTTCCATTTTCTTATGAATAAGGCAATGCCATCCTTTCTGATGGAATCATAGAATTCCATCGTGTATATATACTACATTTTCTTTATCCATTCATCCACTGAGGGGCATCTGATTGTTTCCTTATCTTAGCTATGGTAAATAATGCTGCAGTGTGTGAATGTGACTTCAGTGAGGGCTGGTTTGTGTTCATTTGGGTAAATGCCTAGGAATGGGATTACTGGGTCATAGGGCAGCTCTATGTTTAGTCTTTTGAGGAGCTTCCACACTGTTTTTCATAGTAATGGAACAAGTTTACATTCCCATCAACAGTGTAGTAGTGTTCCCTTTTGGCTACAACACCACCAGCATGTTATTAGTTTTCTTGATAATGGACATTCTAGCTGGGGTAAGGTTCTCAATGTTGTTTAGATTTGCATTTCTTTTATGGCCAGAGATGTTGAGCATTTCTTCATGTGTCTATTGGCCATTCTTATTTCCTCTTTGGTTCTCCAAGTCTTTAGCCCACTTATTGATGGAGTTGTTGTTTCTTTGAGGATTTAGTTATGGTGGGTTTAACTTTTTGAGCTCTAAGTAAATTTTAATTGAGTCCCTTGTCTGATGTATAGCTAGTAAAGATCTTTTCCCATTCTATGGGTTTTCTATTTATGTTGCTAGCTATGTTCTTTGCCTTGCAGAAACTGTTCAGTTTAATGCAGTCATATTTATCCAGCCTTGATTCGATTTATTGTGATTCTGGATCTTTATTTAGGAACTTTCAACCTGTGTCTAGGAGCCCTAGTGTTTCCCCTATCCCTTCTTGTAATATTTTTTGGGTATCTGGTCTTACATTGAGGTCTTTGATTCATTTGGAATTGATTCTGGTTCAGTATAATATATAAGGATCTAACTTCAGTTTTCTGGAAGTGTATAGCCAGTCTGCCAGCACCGTTTGTTGAAAAGGCTGTCATTCTTCCATCCTGTGTTTTTGGCTCCCTTATCAAAGATTGGTGGCTATAGTCTGTCTGTGGGTTCATTTCTAGGTCTTCAGTTCTATCCATTGATCCTCAGGCTTGACTTTGAGCATTAATTCTTTGGATCTCAACCTCCTGAATACTTAAAATTATAGCTGTGAGATACCATTGCCTGGCTTGGCTTTATTTTAAATTCATGATTTACAGAATTCATTATCAACAAAAAGTAGACCCGAATGTAAATAGACCCTTTTATGTTATTCTTTTGTGGTTTTTGGGGTTGTTGTTTTTAATATATTTTTTATTATAAAGATACTGTGTTACTGTTACATGAATAAGGTAGTGAGTACATTTCCTATTGAGCATTTTTACCCCCGCCTTTGTTTTTCCCCTACCATCCCTGCCCTCCCCACCTCCCCAACTTCTCCCTCCCCCCCTCCAACAAGTTGTAAAGTTCATTTTCAACATAGTATCTTGTACATCTCATTGTTACAATGGGTCAACCTGTATCCTTGTTTCAGAATTTTATTTCCCTTCCACTTTGGTGGGTTTTTTTTACATAAATTCATGTTCATAAATGAGCATAAATTCATGTGCCACTATTATTGGCCTATATAGAAATGTTTCACCTAAAGAAAAACAAATCTATGTTCTACATATTCAGTTCTTAAATCCTTAGTATCAAATGCTAATCTGGAATGCTTATTTTCATGCTAGCTTCTTCATTGTGCTTCAGATATCAGTGAAAATATTTACCAAAATAGTCTTAGTTCATCCTCTTCTGAGGCCAGCTATGACAACTATCTATTGCTGCATAACAAATCTGCCCTAAATTTAATAGCTTTAACAAAGAACCAAACAGCTAATATTTCCTGAGTCACTTGTATGGCTTGAGTGGTTTGGTTGTTGTAATGGAGCTGGGGGGTCCAAGAACATCTTGATGATAGCTGCACTTCCTCATTCATGTTGTCTTTCATTCTCAGGCACTCCCTTAACTAGCAGTTAGTGTTTTGAAGATGAAAGAGGAGAAACTGAAAAGATTCTCCCAGTCTAGGCTCAGAAGTAAAAATTTCAAATGTTTTCCCATATCCAATGAGTTAGAGCAAATCAGAGCAACCCAAATTCAAGAGCAGGGAAACAGACTCTGCCTATTCTTGGAGGAATGGCAGAGGCACTGTACACAGGAGCTTATATGGGAAGACAGAAAGAGTAGATTAGGGCCATCTTTGCTCACAGACTCCTATATCAACAGACTCCTTTGTACTTGTGCTAGCTATTCCTTTCTTTAATTTAAAATGTATATTAAGTTAAAACAACCTCCAAAACTGACCTCTATAGACTAACGTACCTTTGCCCTTTGACTTCTGATTAGGTGTCATCAGTGGGAGGGCAGAAAGATGGTAAAATTATTTACTCACTTTCCTTTCCTTCACTAGATAATAAATAACTACAGATGTAATTTGCCTCACATCAACTATTCTTAATCTTTTTCTTTAACTTGAAAACATTCCAGACAACCAATGATGTGTCCCATGACCCTTTCTTCCTGCTGCATCATAATTCATTCTTTTCATCCACATACCTTCATGTTTTTTTTTCATCTTGGGACTTTTATCTTTAGGTTATACCCACACACAAGCTTCTCATATGTTCTTCTTCTAATTATTTTTCATTCCGTTTTCCTACCTTTTGCATCAAGATATTTCACAAGTGTTGCAGCTCTCTGGTATTTTAAGAGATAAGGTATCCCCTGAAAACCCTCTTATGTGAACCAGCCTTCTGCCTTACTGAAGTGATTCCCAGCCCATCTGACTAGCTAGACTTTGGCTTCTCACCAATCTCTTGTTTCTTCGTGAAACATGTTATTGCTTTTTTGACTCTCTTTACCATTGATTGTCTGGTTCCTCCATGATCTCTGAGAAGTCTTTATGCAAGCAATCTTTATGTATGCCTCTTTCTCAGCTCAACCACTTGTACCTTTTATCTTCTAACCATTTTTGGAACTTTTGATATATTCCTAGAGATAATGTCTTCTGCTTATGAATACTTTGCTGAGGGTCAGAAGCAAACTTTTGTACATGTAATGAATTAATTTCAATGTTACCATTTTAACATAATGTTTGTTTTTAAAAATATGGATGACCTTATCAACAGGATTAATTCTCCCATGAAGATATAGTATTCATTTTCTCACATCTTACTCTTTTGCTTGGCAGCTAGCAAGTCTCTTCAACAATAACTGCATATACTCTAAGTTCAGAAAATTGGAAATGGAAAAATATCTATCTTAAAAAAAACAAATTAGATCCAGTCTTCACCTACCTCTCCAGTCCCTTCTCTTCTTACTACTTGTCTTGTGTTTACCATGAAGACACCATGTTATGGAAGTTTCCTCCTCACCTACCATAGCCCTTGCATATCTAGGTTTTCTCTTTTAGTTCTTTCTGCAGTAACTATTTTACCTGACTGACTTATAATCATCTTCTCTAACCATAGTTGCATAGTACTTCTTCCTCAGAGCCTTTCTTGGCTCAATCTTTGGTGCCTCTTTTGGAGAGTCCAATTACTCTTACTATCATTGCATTTAATACTGTGGACTTATTGCTAATTCACATTCTTATTTCATTATTCTGTGGGCTCCTCTAGTGTCAATATTTAGTCCAGAGCTAAGCATTGTTTGATTCATGATATATGTTTTAATGGAAAAATTTTCTGATACCTTAGAGCTGTTGAAATACTATAATACAAATAAAAGACATCATTAGTTTGTCTTTTCTAAATGAACTTTTTGCTGCATAATACCAAAACAATATTCTTTATTTTAAACAATATCCACTCTCACAATATTTAATCTCATGTTTATAATGACAGTATAAAAATAATAGAATTTTTCATCATTTCCCCTATTGATGCATTATTTAAAAAATTACACATGTTGATTCAGCAGAAACTTGCAAAAGGTTTGAATAACTATTCACTTTCAGAATCAAGAAATTTCTGCTGACATTTTCCATCTTAAATTCTGAGAAGTTTGCTGAATTTTTAGTTTCTAAAAAAAATCTCACTATTGTATATTTATAAACTCAACAGGAGGAAACTACAACTAAGTAAGCACTGTAGGTTCTGATTAGAGTTTAAGTAAACTCCTGTCAAATAATGCTGATAATGAGCCAGGCAATGGTTGCTCATGCTACAATCCTGGCTAATCAGGAGGCTAAGATC